ATTCGTTTGAGATTTCTTGTCTATCTTTGTCATCAAACAGTTGTGATATGTATTCTGTTCATCGTTAATTTTTTGTTGTAAATCTGTTATAATTATACCATCTGTATCTTTGATCTGTCCTGTCTGTGTTGTTCTTCTCCTTCCTGTCATTTCTTTAATCTTTTTGTGTACATTAAAAAAGTCATATTTTCGCTCCAATTGTTCCAACTCTTGGCATTGCTCACTTAGCCATCTTTCTCTAGCTTCTCTTATTTTGTTTTTATCAGTTTTATCTGTTTCTTTGTATCTTATCGGATTATTTGTTTTGTGTACCCTTCTTTCACGCATCAACTGTAGTATTTCCTTATTCATCCATTCTATATGTTTTCTTTCTTTTGGTGTTAAATTTCTCTCCCTACCAACATTACGGCATGTTTAATATTCTCCCATTTTTGGTCTATGTTATCAGTATTTCTATTCAGTTTCTCTATATTTTGTAAATTTTCTTTGATGTTCACTATTGTTTTCTCTTTTATATGTTGTTCATTCAGTCTTCTCACGTCAATTTGTTTCTGTATGTGTTTTTTAATGATCTTTAGTTTTATTCTTGTTACTACTACAGGATTGTGATCCGAGCCTATATCTGCTCCTGGGTAGGTTTTAGCTGAGAGTATAGAGTTGCGGAATCTTTGACTAACAAGGACAAAGTCAATTTGGTTTTCTGACTACTCTAACCTTTGGTGTCACTCGGAGATTTCCATGTGTACAGTCGTCTGTTAGGTAACTTGAAAAGAGTGTTAGCAACTATTAACTCCTCCGCTTGACAAAATTGTACCCATACGGTCTCCTCGTTCGTTTCGTTCTCCTAATCCATAGTCACCCACATAACCGTCCACACATCCATGTCCAATTTTGGCATTAAAATCGCCCATTACTACTGTAGTATGATGTTTCTTCATTGATTTTAGAATTTGTTCCAGATCGTAATAGAAACTTTCAATTTCATCATCATCTTTATCAGCCGTAAGAGCATATACTTGTATAATATTTATAATTTGTTTATTTGACTGAAGTTGTTAGTGTCATTATTCTATCAGAGAAGGGAGTAAAGCTTGTTACACAAGCAGTGGTAGTGTTGTATTAATAGGTAAATACAAAGTTTGAGAAGACATTATTCAAATTTCTTTTCTAAGAAATATATGGCCGGAGCTAATTTACCTATGCCCCTTTTTGGGTATTAAAATCTGACCGCGGAAGCTAACTAGTATACACCTAAATCATACACCCAAAAGCATCAAAAAATGCTTTCTAAGGGAGCCAGAGCTCTCTTTAAAGATGGCGCCCTAACATCACTGTAATTCAAATATCTTTAAAACATTTATCTTTATAATAAGTGATAACATTCTGTATATTTATTTAGGGAAATGTTCCCAACCATTTGGCGTGAACGTGGTTTTTTTAATTACAACCATAAGCAGCTCGTTTAGGAGGGGTATTGTACATTTTTATTCATAATATTTGTTTTTCATTTATTGACATAACATTTAAAAAATTTAATTTTTTTTTTATAAAAAAATTATATTTTTATCTGAAGTCCATCTAATGTACCATTTCCGAGAAAAATCAATTTGTACTTTTTATGTATCAATGCATATATGTTTCCATTGGCTAACAAATTAATTTCTAATTATTGTGAAAGATGGCTAAGGCAAATAAACAAAATAACTTTTGACATTATACTCTGTCTATTTGTAATTGGCAGCGCATTACAAATGCAAATCGTCACTAATATGCAAACAGCAGGTAAAGTGATCAAACTGGAAAGATCATGGGTCAATGTTGAAAAATCCAGAAGGGCAGGTTTATAAGTTAAATAAAATTGATGTTCAAATATTTTTATTGGTTTTTGCTATGAGAATTAAAGAGAAAAACCTATATTTTGAACGATAGAGAAAAGATTGTTTTTGGAGGAGGCTATATTTGAAAACGATAAAAAGGAAGATGAATTCTCTATTTAGATGAAACCAGACTAAATGAAAATCATACCGATTCAAAAGAATGGGTAGATAAAAATATAACAAGTTCTCGACAAACCTTCCTAGATGGAGAATCTATTGGTTTAATTGCTCCCACAGGAAAGGGTCGAAGATTAATAATCACGCACATTGGTAGCGAACATAGTTTTGTGGAGAGTAGTTTTGTTTGAGTTCGTTTCAAAATCCACTAAAGATTGCCACAAATAAATGAACTCCGATGTTTTTGAGGATTACTTTTCTCAAGTATTGAATTTTTTACAAAATAATGATGTCAATAATGTCAAACAACTTTTATTCGATTCCATAAAAAACGTAACAAAAGATAATTGGATCAATGCCGTAAACCACGTAAAAAAGGAAAGAAAGATTGTGGACTGTTGATAATAACATTGAAGAACTTTGTCAATCTATTATTATTCCAATCGGGTCAGACAACGAATTTGACGCAGAAGAGGAGGAAGAGATTATATTTAAAGTTTAAATGAATAATATAGAAATTTTATTCATGAAATATAGTTAGTTCAAAGTCATTTCTGTTTTATTTCTTAATTCCCATGACTATATGGAATACAAACAAGACCCAGAGATATGAATTATTATCAAATTGTTGTTATAATTTCTGTTATAAATATCAGTTATGCCCATCCTAAAAATAGGGAGCACATAACAATTTATGTATGTATATGGTATATATATATATATATATATATATATATATATATATATATATATATATATTATATATATATATATTATATATATATATATAATATATATATATACATATATATATATACATATATATATATATATATATATATATATATATATATACACTCAAAAATGTATTGCATAATGTAATATTTTCAAAATTATCCACCAAATCTGGTGAAATCTATTTTTTTTTAACAAAATACTTTATTAGATAGATAAAATTGTATGTTTTGTATAAAACAATAAACAAAATTGAAAGGATTAACGATTTATTATTATTATTTATAGTATGTATTATTAATATATTTTTTTAATTTGTACAGTTATAGGAACTAATAGTTAATATGCCGTATTTATACCTCTTGCAAGACTGAATGCGTTGTCCCATGTTTCTTATAAGTGTGGCATTAATAACTTGATTATTATACATTAATTTTAACTTAGGTATATTATTTTATCGTTTGTTGCCTTATTATTGTATGAATTTCAAATATTAAAATTCATATCATTATTAAAATTCTATTTATTATACATGAAATATACCTATATGAAATTTATAGAAGACTTAGATCTTTATAGATAGATAGATAGATCTTAACTTAAAAAGTATAATTATAGTACCTATAATAAAAAGTTTTTTAAACATACCCTTGTTTATGATTGGAGATTCTTTCAAAATAACAGATACCGATTTTATCACCATGTCGAAGCCTTTTTGGAGTCACCACTTTAACTAAACAATTGTCGAACGCAAAATTCAAGCAACTATTGAAGTTTGAGTCATTTTTAAAAAGTGCTAGCTTTTTACCCAGACGTGAAGTAGTCATTAGCACTGCTGACTAAATATTTTTACCATTATTCAAAAAAGTATGTATACTGTATACAAGCGTTGTTCATTATTGTCTATAAACGTGCAAAATATGTGACAGTAAATGTACTTTCGTGTTTAATACTTCAATTATAATAGTATACGGAGTGTCCCAAATTATTTTGACGCTTAAAAATTCTAGGTAGGTATTATTTTATATTGATTTAATGTGAAATATTATAAATATTAAAAAAAACTAAGAAATCTATAAATATTTGTAAATGAAGCACTAACATCGGTTTATTTCTTCTTCTTATTCTTCTTCTCTTAACTCTTTTTATCCCTTAGGGCAGTGTATAGGACTTTTTGTTATATTGGTGTCTATTCTCTTTTTACATTCTTTTTTATTTCTTGATTTTCATTTCTACGTAGTTCCTCCCTCTGGCTTATCTGCCCTTATAATTTCAATTATCCATTTTTTTCTTCATGGCCTCTCTTTTATTTCTTTACTCTTATATATTCTAATATTCTCTGGTCATCTTTCATCTCCCATCCGTTGTACTTGCCCAAACCATTTAAATTGTTTAATTTTACTTATTATGGATTCTCGATCTAGTTGGTTTCTTATTTGATCCTTTCTGATTCTATCTTTCGTGGTGTGGTGCGTGATTTTCTTTAATACGTTCATTTCGATTGGATTTATTTTGCTTTCATGTTTCTTTTGTAATACCCAGCTTTTACTTGCGTATCTCACATTGGTATGTGAATTGTATTAAATACTGGAAATTTAGTTTTTCTTTCCTAGTATTTCTTTTCGTTTATTGTTTTATTTAGCGTATGGTAGAGTTGGTTGGCTTTCTTCTGTTAATTATCTTCAATTCGAATTTTCCCTCATTTGAATTTATACTTCCTATGTGTTTAAATGTTGAGACCTCATCTAGTTTTTGTCCTTTGACTGTTATTGTCTTTGCATTTTTACATTAAAACTCACTATCTTGCTTTTCTTGATATGTAGTATCATCTTCAACTTCTCTATCCTTTCTATCCACGTTTGGGTGAGTCGATTATATTCAACTGTTGTTTGGAGGATCCTCGTTCTAAATCTCGTATTCTTTATGAATCTATTCATAATTAGGTATTATAAATAGTAGAAGACTCAGGCTATCTCCTTGTTTCACTCCTCTTTCTAGGTGGAAATTGTCTGATCTTTCTCTGCTGATTTGTACTTTTGCTATAGTATTTTTAAATATTCATTTTACTACTTGTATTAGTTTATTCGAGTTTTTCTGCTTATCTAAATATGTATCTAATATTATATCCATTTTATCAATGCAGATTTCAAGTCTACGAATGCTAGTACTTTCTGAAGGCCACATAGATCTTTTGGTACTTGTATGTCTATAAACATGTGGTGCATATTGTTCTGAAGCTATTTTCTTGTGGCATTTTAAAGTAATTACTATTTAAATAGGAATAAGCCACAATTAAAGCTTAAAGTAAGTTTATTGGCGTTTCAATTTACACTTCGTAAATAGTTATCAAAATACAAACTTTACTAATGTTTTTACAATTTTACAATATGTAAGTCAATTAGATGTATCAGAATTTGTACATCTGATTTCATTCATTGTCATATAACTGGCACCTTCATAAAATCTCAATAAATAAAACACATTACATAAATATATCTCTTGAATAAATATGAATAACTTTTAAATAATTCAATAATATAGAACATCACTCTCATCTAACAAACAATCACATTACACCTATATCTACTTCAGTGGATAAAATCTATCTCCTCAAGAATTTCCCTGTTTATTGTCAAACAATTATAATAGCAAACTTAGTTCTCCATTCAACAATACAGGATAGTTTGAACTATGTTCTTCCAACCAATAATTAATAGAGTACTGGCATCATTTAATTAACTTTGTATCGAGACCTGAAGATGCTTTGTATATTGTAGAAAGCGAAACCGGTCGTCTAGATAGTTAAATTAAACTGATTGTGAGTAAGTCTTATTTATTATTTCTTTCACGTATTTGAAATGGACTAACACAAGCAACACATTCATGATTTGAAATGAAAAGAGTTTTTGACAAAGGACGAAGCGTTTTCGGCTAATGGTTGTAAGGTTAAAGCGAAATGTGTCAACTTTTGAGTGAGGCAGTTGTATGCACTGACGATGGCTCTTAGGGGGACCTTTGGCTTATGGATTTTTGAAAGGCCGTATATCTTTGGAATTCGGGATAATTTTTCTCTGGGTATAAGGGATTTTTTATGTCTGGAGGTAGAGTGGACTTATTTATGATGGATTTGGTCGTTTTTCTAGATAGGTGGCGGAATCGTTTGGGACATGCTATAATAATGTAGTATTGGTAGAATAAAAGTTGATTATGCTTGTTACAGACATGGTGCACAAAGAAAAACTAAGGAGTCGAGTGACGTTCAGCTCCGACGATATGGCAAGTGCCATACAAGATGTTTTGAAAGCAAGAAAATCATGTTATTGAGAATTGCAGCCGTTGAACACGGAGTGAAATTTCAAATCCAAAAGGAAAATTAAATTCCTGTAGTTGGCTGTATACTATGAATCACATAAGTTTTATTTAAAAATCCTTTATAAATGACATGCTATCCTTATAGATGGTAACTCAGTTGCCATCTAGAACCCATTCAGACAAGGTCTGAGCATCAGCAACAACCCCAATTGGGAGTCTAACGTTGCCAAACAGGGTATCTGTTAAATACTTTAACATCACAACATATTTTCAACAATAATGGAATACACAACAAATTTTGTAACTGTTTAAGAGTTTTTACCTAGATATTTAGTGGCTTGACTGATTTGTATACCTGGTAATAATACACTGATGATGGACTTTTTAGTTTGAAAACGTTCTGTAATGTAGCCCGAAAAAGTCTTTTTAATTATGTGTTTACCTTTCAGAGAGGATTTTTAAATAAACCTACTAATCTAGATAATGATCGAATGGAACCCAATTATGTTGTACGACGTGTGTTTTCAGAGGAACAGGAAATTTCTGTGCTGTACGACGTGTGCTTTCAGAGGAATAGGAAATTTCTTAATAAGCTATCTTTTAAGCACAAAAGATAGCATATGATATGGCGATTAAAAATATTTCAGTTCCAGCGAATTGGATCAAGAATAAAATTGATGACTCCAATGGTTCCGTTCATTTTTAAATAGGCGTGGGAACCTCAGTATACGTCAACCAGAGGGTTGCAGTTTATCAAGATTAACATAATTTAATCCACACAAAAGTTCTTCGATAATTTACATGCGTTTATTCTAGATATCCTTCAGGATATATAACCTTAATGAGACTAGTACAACAGTGCAGGAACCTAAGAAATTCGTGGCGGAGAAAGGTGTAAAACAACTGAATAGTTGTACTAGCGGTGAAAGGGTTATTCTTATTATCACATGTGTCGTTAAGAAGCTCCATCTGGCACACTGTGTTTGGCAAATCCAAGTGGATAGATGAATAGCGAGCTGTTTGTCGACGTTGTGAAATACTTCATCAAGTTTAGCAACAGTTCAATTGAAAACCCTTCCATACTGATCTACGACAATCACGAGAGTCACGTAACATGTGACGTTATATTATTATATCATTAATATACTAATATTCTGTTAAGTTTTAATAAAACGGAAATTTTTCCCCTTAATAGAAATATTTTTTCTGAAGCTGACTTCATTGAAAGTTCTGTGACTGAAAGACCAAATAAAATTGAAAAGTCAAATCCACAACCAAAATCGAAAAAGATGTATATTGTGGTTTCCAATTAAATTATATTATCCTCATCAAAGACATCTGAAATTCAAGTAGTATTCCCCACCAAGCACACCTGAAAAACCGATAGTCCCAAAAAATCTAAATCAATATTATCATCTGCGAATTCAAGTTTGTTCATCTTCCCTCACGAGTTTAAAGGATTTCCAGAAGCAGAAAAGAGAAAAGCTATGAAGACAAGAAAAACTAAAAATAGTGCAATTTTAACTAACACATCTGACTTGGTTCAGTTAACACTACAAGCCGCAACCAAAAAAGAAAATACTCTTCAGAGTAATAAACGAATTAAGTTAATTTTAAATAAGTTAAACAGCTGGGCACAAAAAAAAGAAAAAAAAAATAAACGAAGTCATAGCACTTCTAGGGAGAGTGAAGAACTAATCAATTATGATTCTTTAGGTTGTGAATGTAAACATTTACAATTGGAAGACGATTATGGCATAGATGCTAGTAAAGAAATTTCCACTGATAGTTTTGTATTAGTGAAATTAGAAAATAATATATTTTATGTTGCTAAAGTTCTCAAGACATTAGACGATAATAACACAAATGTCATTTTTAAGAAAAAGTGGTAAGTTTTTAGGCTGATTTATTTTTTCTTTAGTTGAAAACATTGCTGCAGTAACAAGGTCAGACGTTATATTAATATTACCAAAGCCAAAAATGTAGATCAACAAAAAAGGGCCTTAAATCTTATTTAAAATTTGATGTAAAGGTTGACAGTATTAAGATCCGTTAAAATTTTCGTTAATTTCATTTTTTTTTATTTTACCTGTAAAATTGCTAGCTTCAATAATAAAAACAACACTCTATGTATTTACTTACTTAACATAATATTGGACTAATACCACTCGACTTATTGTGTACCACCAATGGTACTCAATGAGACATATGTAGATGGTTAGAAAAATAATCACAGATTTTGTTTCTTCACTCATGTGGAAATATTTATTTCAGATAATATTGAGTAAAGAATCATATTGATGACTGGTTAACTCAGTTTATAGACAAATTCAAAAATGTTAATATCAAAAATAAAAATGTATTTTTTGGCTCATTGTGTACTACCCTCCCCTGCATTAGTGGTCAAAGCAGAACTTGAAGTGTGGAAAGCCTTGATTATTTCCTCCCTTACTCCAAAATCAGCTTTAGAATGCTTTGGAAAGTCCAAAGATCAAAAGAGCATAAGACCAAAATCTATATCCGAATATTTACATATAAATATTGGTTACCGCTTC